CTTTTTTATTTATATTTTTATTTTAAGACAGGGTTTCACTAAGATATTTAGATTGGCTTTGAACTTGTGATCCTCCTACCTCAGCCTCCTAGTTGCTGGGATTATGGGTGTGTACCACTCTGCTTGGCAGAATTTCCTTGTTTTGGAGACTTTGCCTAACCTTGCCACAAACCCTTCCAATAGTGTTCATAATTATCATTACTGTGATGGATGTTTCATGTAGCATCATAGGATTATAGAATTCTCTTAGGCCTCAATAACTTTATAAATATAGAAATATGTAAAGGATCATGTCCAGCCCAGGATCATAAGGGTTTTACAAAATTTTTACACATTTACATCAGAACCTACAAGAAAGATAAAAATCTTTGCTACTAACTAATAACTAAATATCTGGCAATTAATGTTTAGATGTATTGAACTTGCCATTTTCTACTACCAATTAATTGTTTCTTTTTGTTTTTTATTTGTTCTTTTTAGATATACATGACAGTAGAGTGTATTTTGACATATTATTCATACATGGAGTGTAACTTATTACATAAAATGCCTCTCTCCATCTCAGCTATATGCTCTTAAATGTCCAGTTAAAGTTTTATGTTCTTTTTCATTGAGTCCAATACTTGGCAGAATAAGTTCTTGGCATAGTAACTTATGAATAATGTATACTCTATGTACTTTTATGTGTTTTATCAAAGACCCAAGGATCATTATTAGATTTTAGGCTATATTATTACTAATCAACAATATCCCCCATGTTATCCTTCCTAGTCTGCTAAATGGTAGAAAAATCTGGATCCCTCCTACTTGTTTTCCTTGTAGCCTACTTATTTTTACTGTAGTAATTACACTTTGGGAAGCTTTTGAAGTCTTGGCCAAAACCAATTCTGGCAGGTAAAGCATTTTCAGCTAAAAAGTGGAAAATAGATTTAGAATCTCATCTCTGTGTCAGCATATAGTATTTTAAAACTAATCTATTCGGTTTCATTTTTCCCATTTTGTCAAACATCAAGGACACTCACTGAAAGTCATTTCTCTCCATATTTATTAGATTCTTGGTTTGCTGAATAGAGAAAAATGATATTTAACTCGGATTATTTCAATAGCATGACAAATCTATAGACTTATCACTTATATCCACAATAGTGATTGCAGTGCTTTATATAGTATTTCACTGTACACAAATTACATATATTAGATGAAATATGTAGGGCAGATAAGAGGAACCCTACCTTCCTGGTGAGGAAACTGAGACCAAATGAGCATCAAAAATTTACTCTGAAATTCTCCACCTGGTAATCAAAACTGGATTAGAACCCAGTTCTCTTGTGTCCTTTCCCAGTTCTCTTTCTATTACTTCATGGCCTATCCCCAGTTGGCAAAGCAATGCCCATTTTGGCTGCAAAATAGAGATAGCCTATGATTGCTGCCAAGAAGGCATATTGAGTGGGATGTACTGAATCTTTCGGTCGCATCAGGTTCTGCTGTGCATGTATGAATTTTGCCAGAATCAGCTTCTTTCATCAAGATGTTCATTTTCCAGAGATGAAATTTAATGGGATGAAATTTCATATAGCCCTTGGTTGCTAGATATGACATAAAATAAGAATATTCTGTGCTGGATAACCTCTACAAAAAAGACTGAGAAAATTCTTAGGGTCACTATAGGAAAACTTATTTTAGTAGAACTCAATTCTTAAAAATTCTTGATGAATGGGGAAACTTGGGGAGAATAGGAACATGACAGAAAAATATACAGCAATGGTATGTGGGAGAGTATATGCATAACTTGAATTTTACTCTTTATTTATTTGCTTCTCATTTAAAGTTGCCCTCTGACTTAGGTATCTCATATCTTCCTTGGCTAGACCAACTGAATGTTATGGAGCATTTAGAAAGGGAAAGGAATAACTTAATAATGATTTTTGAGTTTTCTGGCTCAGGACTCTGGGAGGATAGTGGAGACATTCATTAGCTTTTTTTTGCTTTTTTTTTCCAATTTAATTGGTACGACAGGTGTTCCTAGTGCAATTTTACAGGAAATAGAGAAGGAAAGGCAGTTATAGGAACCATTATAAATGGGCGAATAGTTCAATTCACATATAGGACTGGGAATGAGAAATTCAGGGATATCTTTCCATGATCTTTTCATTTTTGAAAACTCAGTCACCCTCTTCCACAAAGTAGGAAGAAACTGAGCTGGAATTGTGTTAAATTCCCTTTTCTATTTCTTCTGATATAAATCTCTTCTTGCTCTCCATTTGCCTTTCTTCTCCTGTCCCAGCCTCCATGAGCGAGCAGGCTTTGTAAGTTTCCCAGTGACTGCATTTTAATTATTAGATGTTTGGTGGCTACCATTCCTCCAAGGAAAAAAATGTAGCAGAATATCCAACTGCCAAATTAGAGCTCAAATCACAGGCTGCTGACAGCAGCAAAACTTGGTAATACAAAAATTCTTAGATCCTCAAGTTTCTAAGCTTATAAAAAGCCATACTTGTGTGGGCTTTGACTTCATTACTGAATGATGGAAGGGAAGAAGAGTCAGAGAGATGACAACTTTTGTTTCTTTCCTCCCGCCATGAAGTCTTGCTGGATATATCAAGGAGCTGCTGACAGTTTTCTTTGTCTCTGGCATTTTTTGCAACCCCCATCAATGTCCCCATTCTAAAAATGTGCTTTCCCTGAACATGTTCTTTATATATAATCCTCATTTATTTGTGTAATATCAACTCTCATTTGTGCATATGGGTTTTATCTGCAACAAAAATGTAATGCCAAGCAGGGTCTGCCCCTGTGGTCCCTTGATGTTTACTCATCTAATGCAAACTAATTTCATTGTTTGTCCAAGAAAAACATCACCAAAAAGGCAGATCTGTAATTAAAACGTTCTCTCAGGCATTCCAAACTTGAATAGAAATTAAGAGCACATGATATATTGGTTTAGATGGTCAGAATCATCTTCTGTCCAGGATGAAGAGGAGGGCCCTGTATTTATTTATTATGGAGTTTAAACTTCCATTAATAGTGCCAAACCCATGCTTTATCTTGGAATGGAAGTCTATACGCAGTTCCACAATTTTCATCATATGCTAGTATTGTTTGACATATAAAATATAAATATATTATGCCACTTATTCTATCTACTTACCTACCTATCTATGAGAGTGAAAACTTTCAACCAAAGTCTTCATTACCGGATTATTTAATTCTCAAAGGAAATAAAGTGATTCAGTTATTTTTTTTTGGTGGGGGGGGTACTGGGGATTTAACTCAGAGGCATTAGACCACTGAACCACATCCCCAGCCCTATTTTGTGATCTATTTAGAGACAGGGTCTCACTGAGTTATTTAGAACCTCATTTTTGCTGAGGCTGGCTTTGAACTCACAGTCCTTCTGCCTCAGCCTCCCGAGCTGCTGGGATTACAGGCATGTACCACCCAAAGCTATTCAATTATTATTAGTCTAAATGTTGTATTTCCAGTTTAAAGGACTATAACATTTCTTTTCATCTTCCTCCTCATTCTATCCCCTTGGCTTTATTTAGGGGAACAGTCCTAAGTAGTAAAGAAATGGGAAGAGACAAGGAGAATAGAGAAAGCTGGTGACTCAGAGGACAGAGAGCTCAAAAGCAGGACTCCTTGGAGGATTGTGCCTACTCTGTGCCATTGCAGTTATATTTCAGAATCACTTAACCCCTAAGAGTCTCCATGATCTTAAAGAACCAAATTCTCTCCTAGTTATACTAACTGCAATTATTTAAAACCAAGCAAGTGATCATGTTTGTTATCTCTGTGTTGTGAGCAAATTAAAAATAAATTTGAACCCAACAGTGCCAGCTGTTCTATAAGGTCTGAAGTGCAGTTTTCCTTTGTAAAGGTTTAGGGCTTCTGGTCCACATTGCTTGGAAGTCACATAGCCATTTGAGAAGTTGGTTGATTACATTATCACTGAAAAATAATCTCACTCTTATAAATTGTGAACTTTAGTGAATTGTTTAGTACTTGCCAGAAAACAGATAACTAGAGATTATGAAGATGATTTTGTTTTTTAAAAGTAAAAGATATTATGAAGAAACTTTCTAGCATCACTAGTTACAAGCAAATATATATATATCCCAGTATAGAGTGGTTATTTTATTTCATCACATACATCCTAGCTTATCAATGTTGAACTCACTGTATTTAAAGCATTTGAGGAATCTTAAGCATGAAACGTGCCCCACAAAGCTAGAGCCATCCTAATTTACTCAACCTCAAAAATTGTGTCTGACACTTCCTTTCCCAAAATCACCATTGTGGAGTGACACACCTGCTGCATGGTACAGGACCAGTCTGGGCTGAAGAAAACCGAGGAATGATTCTGGGATTCATAAATGCATCCTCATGATGACACCCTGCCACCAGAGGCACAAACAACAGAGATAACCCAGCTGGTGTGACTTACTTTCCAAAGCCATAACCCTAATGCATTCCAGTGGGAGGAAATGAAAAGAGATTTATTATTAGTTCTGAACTAATGCTGATCAATGAGCAAACTGCCATGAAGCTCTGGCCAAGGCAATATAAGCTCTCCAAGAAAGGCGTGTGTGGCGGGGGAGCAAGAGCCGGGGTCTGCAATATGTGAGACTAGTACAGGAGAGAATAAAACCTTTTTTTTTTGTTAGGAAAGTATCCCTCGTGACCAAGAGTGGCGCTACACCATCTGTTCGTGGTACTGCGGTCTCACAGTGCAAATGCCTGTCATGTACAACAAGCAGTCAGAGCATTAGAAAAAGTGAACATTTCCAAGGTAATTTCCCTAATATAAAGCAAGTTTATCAACAATCTGCAGGCCTCTCTTTTACTTCACATCCAGAAACCGTGGATCTATGAGGACACACTCCCTACTGAATAGTTGTCTATTGCTGAGGGTATAAAGAAAAAGCACAAAACCTATATCCCAGAGGGAAGGTGTGAGACAGACACAATGTGACAAAAGGGAGATACAAAGAAAAATGGGCATGGCCGCTGGAAGCCCTGTGGAAATATATTTAATATATTGCATTCCTATTCACCTTGCTGTGAGATCAGTTTTGCATCTTAATTACCAGCTGGCATTCCCAAAATATCCTTCTACCCATGGGGGAACAGTTGTGGAAGATTTTAGCAGTGCAATGCTAATGACAAGAGTAAATGTCTCAGGGAGCAAGAAACGGAACTGTCATGTGCAAGTGCATGCGACAGCAAGTCTAGTGGCCAGAAGAGAAGCTAGAACAGGGCAAAGGCAGAGTGCTCCCAAACCCAGCAGAGCCGAGTCTCAGAAGACCAAGGGGATCTTGAAGGCTAATATAACCAAATGTAGACAAGTGTCAGCGCCAGAGAAATCTGGGGCTGTGTGGTGCACGCATTTCCAGGAAGCAAACTCCTGAAAATTTGGCCAAAAAAAAAAACAGGAAGCAAGAAAGTTATTATAAAGACAATGAAGGAAATGGTCACTTACAATGACCTCAACAGAGATTCTGTCCACTCTCATCTCCCTTTTTCCCCTAGAGTCCTGTTGTGGGCTTCCCTGAGCAAGACAGACAAGTAGGCAGACTAAGGGATGTCTTACAATAACAGGTCTGATAGTAATTACTGGTTTAAAAAATTGATAGAGATAGGTTATAGATGTTTTCACAAGCAAAGGCAGTACCATAGTATGGTATTTTCATAAAAGTCACATGCTCATAGAGGACTTAAATATACAGGAACAAACCTGCTGTGATAGTTTTCTGTCACTGTAACAAATACTTCAGATAAATCAAATTAAAAAAGATAAAAATGTTTATTTCAACTGATGGCTTCAGAGGTTTCCATCCAGGGTCAATTAGCCCTGTTCCTTTGGGCCTGTGGCAGCCTAGTACCCTATGATGGGAACATGTGGTACAAGAGGAGTTCACCTGGTCACAGCTGAGAAACAAAGAGAGAAGGAAAAATACCTAGATGTCTCAATATAAGCTTCAGTATACACCCCAATGACCTGACCTCTTTCCAGTAGGCCCCACCTCTAAGAGATTTAATGTTCTCCCAGTGGCACCAAAGACTGGAGAGGTTCATCATTAAAGCATAACCCTTGCCTAGTGGTTAAACCTAGTGGTTAAATACATAAGATTGTATAGTGATTTTTTTCCATTGCAATAAAAAATATATGATGTTGAGTATTTTATAAAGAAAAAATATTCCATTTAGCTCACAGTTTTGGAAGTCAAGTCTAAGACTGGATAACCCACTGTTCTGGACTGTGGCTAGAGCCTTATGACCATTGACATCAGAAAGTCAGGGGTTTGTTGGAGTAATCACATGGCAAGATAGAAAACCAGAGAATGAGGAGTGGTCAGTTTCCTCTTCTTTGTTTTCAGCATCTTATTTTAATTTTTTTTTCTTTTAGTGCATTATATTTGTACATAATAATGGGGTTTATTTATTCATTATGACATAGTCATATGAACATTAAAACACATTTTGCTCCATTTCTTCCCCAGTATTTACCCTTTTGTCCCCTTCTTCCTTCCTCTCATACATTTCTTCTACTCTACGGATCTTACTTCTATTATTTTACTTATTTTAGTATGTGCATTATACTTAGACCAAAAAGTGCAATTCATGATATGGCTCAATTGGTAGAGTGCCTGCCTTGCATGCACATAGGCCCTGGGTTCAATCCCCAGTACCACCAAAAAAAAAAAAAGTGCAATTCATGGTGCTACATTCATGCTTGCACATAGCCTAGTCAATTTCATTTTGTGCTTCCTCCCTTTTTTTACCCCTCCTCCTTCCTCCTTTGCTCCCTATGCTCTATTGTACTACTTTACTTTCTATTTTAATGAGATCCCATTTTTTTTCCTTTCCCTATTTCTTTCTAGCTTCCACATATGAAAGAAAACATTCCACCCTTCTCTTTGTGCCTTTGGCTTATTTCACTTAGCATGATGTTCTCCAGTTCCATCCATTTACTATTAAAGGACATAATTTCATACTTATAAATGTTGCAACTGCTAGATGAAAACATGGGGTCAATGCTCCAACTTATAGAAACAGGCAGTGGTTTCCCTAACAACATTCCTAAAGCTCAAGAAATAAAATCAAGCATCAGTAAGTGGGACAGCATCAAATTTAAATGCTGTGCACATGAAGGAAAAAAGAATATGAAAAAAGACTTTACAGAATGGGAGAAAATCATTGGTAGGTATGCTTCTGGCAGACAATTAATATTCAGAATGTATAAAGAAAAAATAGACTAATAAATAAACCAATTAATAAATAGATGAACTAAGCAGACATTTTTCAATAGAAGAAATGCAATGGCAACAGATCTTTATACATATTTTTTCCAGCATCCTTAGCAATCAAGGAAATGCAAATCAAAACTACACTGAGATTTGTCTTCCCTGTAAAATGGCAGACATCAAGAATGTACATCACAATAAGTTCTGGTAAAGATGTAGAGAAAAAATAACACATTGTTGTTGGAGCCGCAATCTACTACAATCACTGTGGAAATTAATAAAAAGTTTCCTCAAAAGATTGGGAATGAACCCATCATATGGCCCAACTATAGCACTCCTTGGTATTTATCTAAAAGAGCTGAAATCACAATAGTATAGTCTGCCCAGTGACCAGCGCTGGCTTCATTAAAGAAGGTTCGATTCATGAGTAAAATGCTAGGGAGTTTTAAATTAAAGAAACAAGACTCTAATTACCTTTAAAACCAGCTCCAGACCTTTTTAATTCAGGCACAGACAGTGACCCCTTCTGGACAGATAACTTGGCAAACATTTCAAGTACAAGGGGTCCAGAACTTGCAGAATTTGCAAATACAGAATACTGCTGCCCAACAAATAACTTTGACGCCTGTCCAGACACTCACGCTTGGTCAAGTTGCAGCAGGTGGAGCCTTGACTTCAACTCCAGTTAGTCTAAGCACTGGTCAGTTGCCAAATCTACAGACAGTTACAGTAAACTCTATAGATTCTACTGGTATACAGCTACATCCAGGAGAGAATGCTGACAGTCCTGCAGATATTAGGATCAAGGAAGAAGAACCTGATCCTGAAGAGTGGCAGCTCAGTGGTGATTCTACATTGAATACCAATGATCTAACACACTTAAGAGTACAGGTGGTAGATGAAGAAGGGGACCAACAACATCAAGAAGGAAAAAGACTTCGGAGGGTAGCTTGCACCTGTCCCAACTGTAAAGAAGGCGGTGGGAGAGGTACCAATCTTGGGAAAAAGAAGCAACACATTTGTCATATACCAGGATGTGGTAAAGTCTATGGGAAGACCTCACATCTGAGAGCGCATCTGCGTTGGCATTCTGGAGAGCGCCCTTTTATTTGTAACTGGATGTTCTGTGGCAAAAGATTTACTCGAAGTGATGAATTACAGAGGCACAGAAGGACACATACAGGTGAGAAGAAATTTGTTTGTCCAGAATGTTCAAAACGTTTTATGAGAAGTGACCACCTTGCCAAACATATTAAAACACATCAAAACAAAAAAGTTATTCACTCTAGCAGTACAGTGCTAGCCTCTGTGGAAGCTGGGCGAGATGATACTTTGATAACTGCAGGAGGAACAACACTTATCCTTGCAAATATTCAACAAGGTTCTGTTTCAGGGATAGGAACTGTTAATACTTCTGCCACCAGCAATCAGGATATCCTTACCAACACTGAAATACCTTTACAGCTTGTGACAGTTTCTGGAAATGAGACAATGGAGTAAATATTACACAAATACTTATTCATAGTGGTTATTTTTATACAGTAGTGAGAAGAATATTGTTCCTAAGTTCTTAGATATCTTTTTATTGATGTGCAAAAATTTTTGGATTGACAGTAACTTGGTTATACATGACACTGAAATGCCTTACTTTGTATGATATTCCATAGTATATTAAAAATGGTAAAATTGCATGGGTTTTGTAGGTACTTTTGGAATCTAGAAGAAATGAAATTTTACCAAGTTATATAAAGAGAAAATTGAATTTAACAATGCGAATGGTAGTCTAACCAAATGCATCAATCCTGTGTGGTTTAGTGTAAAAATGAGAACATGTTGGTATTTATCTATTGTAAGATAAAAAAAAAAAAAGTTGGTGGGTGAAAGAAATCATGTTATGATAAAAATTTTTGTAATTTTCTTGATGACTGGAATTTTTATTATGCATAACTGACAAATCAAGTTTCCAAGCAAATGTTACATAGTGTAGGCTTTACTTAGCTTGTCAATTTGTCATTTTGAAGCTAATTATTTTAATTAGGTTAACTATGTACAATATTTTAAGCATTACTCTTGTAAGATTTTGAAAACTACATTTTAACATGGAACTCTAGGGATAGTCACCTTTTAAATCCTGTTGAAAAGCCATGTTTAAGATTTAATTTGCCAAAATAATGTCTTGTTAATATTCTTTCAATAACGAAGTTGGGCAATATAGCCAATGTTTAAAAAAAGTTTAAAATGTATAGGTTGAGGCATTTGGGTGGTAAGAAAATGTTATAGTGAATTAGCCCTTTTCTTGAATATTGGAGGACCAAAAAAAAAAAAGAAAAGAAAGAAAAATAACTAAGGTGTATTGCGTCTTAGCGGTGATTTTTATCCAGTCTTGTTTCCAAAAACCATGTCTGCCAGGGCCTTAAAAGCCATCATGTAAATTACCAGTAAAGTATAACATATGCAAACATAACAAAATCACTTCCATAGTGACAGTACTCCAACCATATGGATATTAGTCATAGAAAACTAGACATTTTATGATATTTTTTAATTTTTGTTTGTTTGTTTTGTCTAGGTAGTCAGTCTGCACTTAAATATCAACCATTTTCCTTTTTTTTTGCTTCTTCCCTTAAAATTTATATGTATCCAATACATTTAATTGAGAAACGTATGTTTTTTATTATGCTGCATTTTCTTTTTATTTTTTAGTTATTGTTTATATTTTCAATTAAAAATGTACAAAATAAAGTTACATTGCTGGTCTTGTAAGAGCTATACAATTTTCCTAAATGTATACCTATAACTGCAGCAGTTCACCTATTTCAGAAATTTGGAATTCTGTTCATTTGTTATCTTTAAGACCACCTCAGATTTAAAGGCTACCTTATTGTACGTTTCAAGTGTATTATAACAGTGTGGTAGTTAATAAAACACTATTTTTTTTTCTTTAAAAAGAAAAAAAAGAAAAAAAAACCAGCTCTAGGACGGCGCTTCTCCTAGCTCCAGCTTCCAGCCACCTAATGTGGTAGCGAGGTTTACTGAAGAGGCTAGGGAGAGGGGAGAGAGAGAGAGAGAGAGAGAGAACATGCCAGGGAGTGGACTTTTATTGGGGAACAAAAAATTCCAGGGAAAATCCTATCCAATGAAGGTTAAGGGGGGGCATTATCCCAAGGTCAGGGGCGACAATTGGGTCTTCAGGGCAGTGACCAGACAAGCCTCTGCATGGACAAGCCCTCAGACCTGGGGAAGGGTGGGGAAAGCTCTGACACAGCTGTGTCTAAGCGCCTCTCACCCAGCCAGGGAGGTAACTCAAATCACGTGCGAGGATAGCTTCCTACACTAAAGTGATATCTGCATTTCTATCTTTATAGTAGTGCAATTCACAATAGCCAAGTTTGTGGAACCAGCCTAGATATCCATGAAGAGATAAATGGATTAAAATATGTGGGATATACATAATGAAGTTTGTTCTTCTATAACAACTTTCTCATTAAAACTAATTGGGGTCCCACTAGAAAGATACTGATACCTTTGTGGGTAATATCCTTAATAATTTAATCACCTCCTATAAGGCTGACTCTACCACTTGAAGGCCCCATCAACCTTCACATCATTGCACTGGGTACCAAGCTTCCAACACATGAATCCTAGATGGGTAAATCACATCCAGAGCATAGTAGATGGACAGGAGTTTGACTCATAGAAGACACTACTGTCTTCTATGAGGACTGTGAGCTTGGGAAGTCTTTGAACCTGGGAGCATATACTGAAGACAGCAATGAAGAGGGATATTTTAAGAAATTAAATGCTGTACACAAAACTTATAGCATAGTGCCAATGTTCATTTTCTCAGATCTATTTGGTCTACTCCATAGCAAACACTGCCCTAAACACCATGGGTTTGGAACTAAATACAAGAAAACCACTGACAAAATATACTAATGCAGACATGTAGTTAGTTACTGCTAGATAAATATCAGTGGTTATTACTGTTACTTTTAATGTTTCATTCATATTGGTTTAATTATTGTTATTGCTATCATTCAAAAGTGTTTTGCATAACTGTGATGAGAACTCACATGCTCAGTTACATTCAAAGCAATACAGAAGTGACTCATACTATGAATGTTGATTTGGAAAGAAGGAAAAGAGAAGGAAGAAAAGAAGGAAGGAAACATGAAGGAGAGAAAAGGGTTGAAAATATGAAAATCTTTGAAAAGCTGATAAGAAGGATAGGATTCTGGAGCCCTAGCTTGTGGGGTATACTTCATTGAAAATTTGGTGGAATAAGGCACAGAAGGCATGTGGAGACTGAGAAGTAGTAGTAGATTTGCTTTACACAAGCTATTTATTAACTTTGAGCATGCTAACTTATTTCTAAGTTCTGTAATCTATCAAAATCAGCATTTTTGGAGCAAATATGCTAGTTACATGCAGATCAATTGATAGATGTAAAATGATTGTCAACATGGAGAAACCTACATTATGTGTAAACATCCAGTAATATTCTGAGATAATTTGCATCATAGAACATTTTAATAGCACAAGATAATTTAGGATGCTCTGAGAAAAGAACTTAAGTCTCATCTTATTGACAAATGAAGTTGTTCTGATTCTTTGCTGGGCTCTGGGTAAGATTGTAGGCATAGGAAAGTTATATAAGATTCATTCCACTGTCTTTCTTATTCTTATCGTACCCCCCATTCCCACTTGTCTAATCCACTGAACTTCTATGTATATGTATGAATACACCACAGTGAATCACAACATCATGTACATCCACAAGAATGGGATCCTAATTAGAATAAGATATAGTCCATGCTTGTATTAATACATAAAAATAGATTATACTGTTATGTATAACTAAAAATAACAAATAAAAATAAAAATAATAATAATAATAAATGATTTTAGGCAAACCAAATCTCTTACCTGCAAAATAATCATACATTACTACATTTTTGAGAACTCAAAAAATAAACAAATATCATGATTACATGTACATTTTTTTTGGTAAACTTATCTTCTGTCATAAGGGTAAGTATATCTGTCCTTTGCATGAAACAATTAACAATTAATTAATAATACAAGTGGTCACTCCAACTACAAGGTGAAATTTAGGCTGAAATATATGCAATAAATGTCACTGTCAGGTCTCCCCATTGGAGGACTAATTATTTTTTTATTTGGATAAGATGTATGTAATGCTTTTTTATTCTGAGGATCTGTAAAAAAGAATGAGACTTCTTTCTGTCTTTGCAGTCTTTTAGTGAATTACGTATAGACAATTACAGCAATCATTTTTATGTTTTTTATTTTTACCTGGTATTTCGATACTTCACTCTCTGTTTTAATTGATCACTAGTTTGCAAAATAAATATATTCCATTTTTCACTTTATTTTTTTGCTGTTATTATGAATCACAACATCATGTACATCTACAAGATTGGGATCCTAGTTAGTACCCCACATGTACAAATGTTATTACCTGTGAGATATTTGTAATACCTGCTCATGTATGCTTTGCATAACTTTTCAGCAACATAATTGGAACTTCTTTTACATGTTTTGATCAGAAGAGTGCTTTATAAAACAGTTTCTTTCTCAGCCATTTTCATTTAGTGAGAAATATATATCAATTAGTATTCAAATGTACATAGTACATTCTTCCTTGAAAAACTTCTTTATATGTTATGTTTATTTATAATTGCCTAAAGTGTTAAACAGTTTAAAACCTTATGTTTAATTGTGTCTTTTTCAAAATTAACATTTAGACAAAATTAATTTTATTGTTATTCTGAACTCTAAACTTTCCAATTTTTCGTAATTTTTTAAAAAATGTAATTGTAAATTTAATTATTATTATTTTTTTTTCTTTTAATTTTTTATTGTGGGTTGTTCAAAACATTACAAATTTCTTGACATATCATATTCCACACTTTGATTCAAGTGGGTTATGAACTCCCACCTTCACCCCATACACAGATTGCAGAATCACATCAGTTACACATCCATTGATTTACAAATTGCCATACTAGTGTCTGTTGTGCTCCGCTGCTTTCCCATCCTCCACCTTCCCCCCTCCCCACCTCTCCCCTCCCCTCCCCTCCTCTCTCTCTACCTCCTCCACTGTATAACCCTGAGGGTCTCCTTCCATTACCATGCAATTTCCCTTCTCTCCCCTTTCCCTCCCAACTCTCATCCCTGTTAAATGTTAATCTTCTTCTCCTGCTCTTCGTCCCTACTCTGTTCTTAGTTACTCTCCTTATATCAAAGAAGATATTTGGCATTTGTTTTTTAGGGATTGGCTAGCTTCACTAAGCATAATCTGCTCTAATGCCATCCATTTCCTGTAAATTCTATGATTTTGTCATTTTTTTAATGCAGAGTAATACTCCATTGTGTATAAATGCCACATTTTTTTTTTATCCATTCGTCTATTGAACGGCATCTAGGATGTTTCCACAGTCTTGCTATTATGAACTGTGCTGCTATGAACATCGATATAGCAGTGTCCCTGTAGCATGCTCTTTTTAGGTCTTCAGGGAATAGACCAAGAAGGGGAATAGCTGGGTCAAATGGTGGCTCCATTCCCAGCTTTCCAAGAAATCTCCATACTGCTTTCCAAATTGGCTGCACCAATCTGCAGTCCCACCAGCAATGTACAAGTGTACCCTTTTCCCCACATCCTCGCCAGCACTTGTTGTTGTTTGACTTCATAATGGCTGCCAATCTTACTGGAGTGAGATGGTATCTTAGGGTGGTTTTGATTTGCATTTCTCTGACAGCTAGAGATGGTGAGCATTTTTTCATGTACTTGTTGATTGACTGTATGTCCTCCTCTGAGAAGTGTCTGTTCAGGTCCTTGGCCCATTTGTTGATTGGGTTGTTTGTTCTCTTATTGTCTAATTTTTGAGTTCTTTGTATACTCTGGATATTAGGGCTCTATCTGAAGTGTGAGGAGTAAAGATTTGTTCCCAGGGTGTAGGCTCCCTATTTACCTCTCTTATTGTTTCTTTTGCTGTGAAAAAACTTTTTAGTTTGAGTAAGTCCCATTTGTTGATTCTAGTTATTAACTTTTGTGCTATGGGTGTCCTATTGAGGAATTTGGAGCCCGACCCCACCGACTGTAGATCGTAGCCAACTTTTTCTTCTATCAGACAGCGCGTCTCTGATTTGATATCAAGCTCCTTGATCCATTTTGAATTCACTTTTGTGCATGGTGAGAGAAAGGGATTCAGTTTCGTTTTGTTGCATATGGATTTCCAGTTTTCCCAGCACCATTTGTTGAAGATGCTATCCTTCCTCCATTGCATGCTTTTAGCCCCTTTATCAAATATAAGATAGTTGTAGTTTTGTGGATTGGTTTCTGTGTCCTCTATTCTGTACCATTGGTCCACCCGCCTGTTTTGGTACCAGTACCAAGCTGTTTTTGTTACTATTGCTCTGTAGTATAGTTTGAAGTCTGGTATCGCTATACCACCTGATTCACACTTCCTGCTTAGCATTGTTTTTGCTATTCTGGGTCTTTTATTTTTCCATATGAATTTCATGATTGCTTTCTCTATTTCTACAAGAAATGCCGTTGGGATTTTGATTGGCATTGCATTAAACCTATAGAGAACTTTTGGTAATATCGCCATTTTGATGATGTTAGTTCTGCCTATCCATGAACAGGGTATATTTTTCCATCTTCTAAGATCTTCTTCTATTTCTCTCTTTAGGGTTCTGTAGTTTTCATTGTATAAGCCTTTCACCTCTTTTGTTAGGTTGATTCCCAAGTATTTTATTTTTTTTGAAGATATTTTGAATGGAGTGGTTGTCCTCATTTCCATTTCAGAGGATGTGTCGCTGATATACAGGAATGCCTTTGATTTATGCGTGTTGATTTTATATCCTGCCAATTTGCTGAATTCATTTATTAGCTCTAATAGTTTCTTTGTAG